TATTTTTCTTATTAATTAATGATCATGAGAACACTATTGGAATAAAATGAATTTACATTAATATAATAAGCTTGCGATAGTAGTAGTATAAATATTAAATAATTCTAAATTTTAATTTTTATTCAATATTTTATTATTATTTCACTTTTATTAATGATAGAAATTTATATTTAAGATATATTAACTTTTGAATTATAGTTGTATTATCTGTTTGTCTGCAATTTTTATTGAAACAAATTATTTAATTGACTTATTTATAAAATTCAATACTGTAATCAGTGGATATGTTAATAATTTAAAGTCAATGCTTGTCACGTATACTAGTAATTTTCTAAAAATATTCGTTTCTAATTTGATTTTCCATGTACATGATACAAAGTATGATGGAATGAATTCTTTGTAAAAGATGAAAGGTAAAATGGTTGAGTCCGAAATATAAAAGAGTAAATATATTTTCGTCAACCGGCGAGTATTTTTAGTTATTCATTTTGGTGATGCGGATTGTAAGAGTAAGTAAATCCTTTTTTCCGTTATATGGCATAGCAGCCAAGAATATACGTGTGTTTTACCCATCTGTTCTGACTCTTATACCATGTTTCTCTCTCTCTCTCTCTCTCTCTCTCTCTCTCTCTCTTCGTATTCTATGAATCTCACTCTTTAATGCGTTGCCGAGGCAACCATGTTTGCCAATCTCGTTGTCTTATCCGTTCTTGCTTCCTCAGTCCTTCTTCTTGGCTTCCCTCGATGCCCAAGAAAAGTCTTTGGAGGGGATAGCAAAAAAGTATCGAGGGGAGCAGAAAGTCTCTTTCAATCTCTCTCTCTCTCTCTCTCTCTCTCTCTCTCTCTCTCTCTCTCTCTCTCATTGGGATGAAGCACCGATAGTCTGTGTCTCGAGTACTTGAGATTTTGGTTTTTTCCCTCGACGTTCACGATATCGTCATCGTCGTCACGTAAGTGATTACCGAGATCGCGACTAGAATCGAAAAGAGATCGGTAAGAAATGTATTACACCGACGAATATATGACATGTTCAATGTTTTTTAATAGGATAAATTATTATCGATAAATCTTTCGTTTTACTTCTTAACACTTTATTATTCTCTAGGATCTAAGTTAATTATTTTGAGTACCTTAAGAATTAAGCTACTTCAAGTACTGCAACAAATAAAAAATTAATACTTAATTAGTAGTATACTTATAATAAATTTTTTTTTTTAATGAATTATTGCTTACTTTTTTTAATTACTATGAGCAAACTTTACTTATATATATTATAAGAGATTAAGTTATCGGAAAAATTATGTGCATGACAATATTCAGAGGATTCAATTTTTTTTCGAATTGGTATTGGCAATGTATTTGCCATATATATATATTTCATTGTTCAATCATATTCTCTCATCGTACAGGTTATTACAACGTCACAATAGTCAAATGCAGATTAGAATGTAGGGAACAATATAAACATAAACATATATAAATATATATACATTTATGTATAGAATATATATATATATATATATATATATCAATTATGATATTTTCAGGTCTCAGCACAGCATAAATCTTTTACATTATTACAATTTTTATACGTTTAGATTGCAATTGTAGTTTATTTATTATTTTTGGTTTTGGAAATTTTGCATAAAATAAATATGTAAAATTTTTATTGAAAACTTTGCAAATATTACAAATATTACAAGCAAATATGAATATATTTATAAAGTCTGTCAATAAATGTTTATTAAAATGGAAAAATTAAAATAATTGCATGGATCCAAAATATAAATTTTATAATATACAAGATAAATAAAATAATAATTTGTAATGTATTTATTTTAGTTATTTTTATTATTACTATTTTATTGCTACTATCAATTTTTACGAATATTTTTTAATAATTATTATTTCATAACGATTAAATATTTAATTTTAAATTTCAATTGAATATATTTCATTCTTATTTTCCATTTCCAGTGCCTTTCACTTTCTTACGTCATTTGCAGTACTGAGTGATTTATACTTTTATTTCGTTACAGTAGCTGATAGACAGTTTTATTTTATCAGTCAAATATGTTAACTTAAAATTAGTGTCCTACACATCAATCAAAGTCAAAATATCTCGAGAAAATAGCCGAGTCAAAGTTAAATGCGAGCTTTTAAAAAATTATCTGAAAATCGGTTAATAGTATTAAATTTGAAAAAGTCTCGGCGCTCCGTCGATGAATTTTACCGTGAATTGAATTCGGCAATTTTCGAGAGGAATCTGAGTCGTGTGACGTGCGTAATCAGGTCGTATGGTAGACAGTGACGGCATCGCCGGAAAAGAAAAAAAAAATAAAAAAAAAAAATAGAATAATGTGTATAGGGGAACGCAGAGTGAAGAAACGATGCATAAGAAACAAAAAATTTCGAATCCTTTCGACCCATCAAAAACGCCGATCTCCCGCATGCGAATCAGCGATTATATACGAAGGCATTTTTCTCCTTGGATATGCATATTCTGACGCCCTTATATAATTATATGAGAGTGCGGTCGATTGTTACACGGCTGGCAAATTAGGTTATAATGCAAATAACGTTGGGGCAACGAAAGAAAATAGGACTGTATCAGGCACAAAAATAAAATGATGGTTGCCAAAGATGTTTTTGTACACAGTTAGATAGTTGGAGAGTGACTGAGTGAGTAGGAGAGAGAGAGAGAGAGAGAGTAGAGTAGAGTAGAGTAGAGGGTGTAAGTAGATGACAATCGAGAGGAGAAAGAGGGAAGAAAATAATAGGAATAAGGAACGTATATATGTGTGTGGGAGGGTGTATATTATGCAAGGCACGTAACTTTAGGAACTTCGATTTTCATTTCCTCCTACCCTTCTCCCACTTCCACTTTCCCCCTCTACGAGGACTTTAATTTTCCCGCTGTCGTTGCATTCGGCCGACCGCTCGGTTTTAAAATGGCGCAAGGGAATGGGCGAACGAGCACGCGGACATCTGATTGACTAAATTCTGATACGGCACTGCCGAGAGTTTCGCACCTCTCTGATATATAGATTTGGACGAGAGAGAATACCGTATTTCGAAGTTGAAGTTAGTTTGAAGATTAAAAAATTGGCGGAATGCGAGGTATCAATGGCTCCTTGAGCAGAGGAATCTCTTTAGAAGAAGAATAGGAATGTCGCGAAGGTGAAGAGGAGCGGAGATTATTATTAGATAACGTTTTAACAGCGAGATATAATTATTTTATTTCATTTATTTTTATATATTTTCGTTTCTTTATACATATATATATATATATATATATATATATATATATATATATATATATATATTCATAATTTTTTTAATTTAACTATTAATTTGAGTCTAAAACTGATTGATGCATACGGCATCATAAGTTATCTGATAATCACTTAAATACGTATGTTCATGAAAATAAAGGACGTATCGAATGCCATTATATATTTTTTATATTAATATAATTTTCTGAATACTATATTAATATTTTTATACAACTTTAGTTGCCTAGTAATAATTGGTAAATTAATTGACAACTATTTTTATATAAGAATTATATGAAACTCGTGAATAAAAAAGAAATATGTCGTTTGTTATTAATTAATGCAAGGAAAGGCTTTGTAAAGCTCATATTAAATTTAAAAATCCATATATATATATATTACACATATGTTATTATTTAAAATTCAAATAAAAAATTTAATAATAATGTATTTGAACGCTCGGCGTTCTTATGTCAAAAGAAACGATGCTTTAAAAGATCTGATTAGAAGTTCATTCCTCTTGCAATGAAAAGAAGTAATTTTTCAATCGATAAAAAAAGTATCGTTTTATTTTGAAAATTATTGAACAATTTTCGAATATCAGTTTTAAACATTAATATTATTGAAATGTTAATTTTGTTGGGCATAATATTTATCCTAGATTATTTAATTGGCTACATTTTTTAATATTTAATTTGTTTTAATCGTTTACTTTTCATTAGAAAAACAAAATCTTAAAGAAACATTAAATAAAGTATTATTATAATAATAATGACATAACTTACTAAATACTACTAGTGATAATAATATAATCTTTCAAATAATTTTAAATTAAGTTTTTAAAAAATAATTTAATATTTAAGTATCGTAGCTTCTGATAGCGAGCTAAATATGAAAAAAATACCTCTTGAAAAAATACCTGACGTTTTATGTCGCTAGATTCTTTGTCGTAATAGTCGATGTTTTTTAAAAATTTGTACACGAATAGTAGTACACATTCAATAGTGTGACGGTTATCATAAACCATAGCGGTCTTCTCCTTAGGACTTCTCACACAAGTCCTTCTCAAATTTTCAGGATGGATGAAGAAGTTAATTCTAATATCTGTGTTAGTGTAAATAAAAGACTAAAAATAACGTAATTAGATGTATTATTCTTGAATCCGAGATATCGTGATTTAATATAGTTTCACGTACCGTGCGCGCACGTGGCTCGTGTAACTGTGGAAAAATTTCTATCTCTTCAGTGCAAACTCAATGTAAATAAAATCTCTGCCATTTTTATTACGTTACTTGATTTAACATTCCTATCTTATTAATTTCCAAGATAAATAAATTTGTAATAAATATAATGCAATACAAATAATTACTGTATTATATTTGTGTATTTTAGCGTTCTATTGAATATTTTTTTAACAACGCAGATTGTTGTTCTAATGTGGTGTTGTCTTAACCGAGTCAAAATAAAAGACAAAATTGCATTTATCATTATAAAAATTATATAATAATAATAATTTTTATACGTTATTTTAAAAGCAGAAAATATTTAATAATTAGATATACTCTATTTAGAAGATATAAGTAAAAAAGATTTTTTATGCATTAGTATTTTATTTTTGACAATGTTTAAAAAATCAATATAATTGAATATAGCAAGTATATTAATAATATATATACTAATATCGTAATATATATATATATATATATATATATATATATATATATATATATATAAATTTACCTATTAAAAATTAAAAATAGTTTGGTATATAAAATTTAAACATTTTTCCACGGCATCCATGTACCATGAAAATTTTCTGGGAATGACCTTGAATCTATGACATCGCTTGCCGGTTGCACAGTAAGTTTGCGATAATTATAAAGGAATCCTATTAAAACATTGCGAATCTGTGTAAAAAATGTCTATGTTTAGTTTCTTAAAAAGTATTATGTTAAATATTTTATGGATGATAATGATCAATATTTAATTCTTAATTCATTCATCAAATTATCTAATTATAAAAATTATGCAAATTTATATAACTGTACTAGTAATTACAATAATATTGAAAGTAAGATTTCTTAATCGTGTAGATCTATGGATATATATATATATATATATATATATATATATAATTAATTATATGTAAAGTTAATTAAAAATGATAAATGATGCGTAAATATTATTTCGTACCCGTATACTGTGTTTTGCTAAATCATTAGTTTCACACGGATCATTTTCTAGGTTGAAGAGACAATAGTTGGAGCAGTCAGCGAAAGTCTTCGGTTGTGAGCACCTTACTTCACTTCTTTTGCGTACGTTGTCGGCTTTGGTAACGGATGTGCTATTGAATTCAGTTAAATGACTAATGGCTAACCCAGTGGGCGATGATAATGCAGACTCGAGAATGTTATAATGTGGGTTAAACGAGCTGTTACCATTAGATCCGTAATACTCATTACTTAATAGTTTGTTACTTGTGTCTATAAAAAATTGTATATTGATAGAATATTTAATAGAACGGTTTTCGTTATTATTCATTATGATTTATTATTAAATTAAAGATATATTGCAAATTTTATAAATACAAATCAGCATGCGATAACGAATTAGCTATTTGAATTACATAAATAATGTTAATATATATATTAATAATAAAATATATTAGTAGGAAACTTTATCCTTTGTTAGAAAATACAGTATTTTTGGCATTTCAAGAATATATAAATAATCATTCATTAGTAATACACGGCTATCCATTGATTTGTGTATTATATGAAATTGTCATTTCATGAAGGTAAATAACCATTGCGTTATTTTATTACTCCAATCAAGAATTACGTTTTAATTCGTCAATTATATGCCTTAAGTGTGAGAGGTGGGATGCTGTTATATCTTAAACTTCCAGGTATATATATATATATATATATATATATATATATATATATATATATATATATACACACACACATACGATTAGATTATTATTATAACTTACGAGGTTGAACGCGGATAAGCTTGTAATTCTCAAGGATTATGCCTTCGATATCTAGTGCCAAGTTGATATCTAGAAGGATGTGGTTTCGGAGCGACTTCACGTCCTCGTCTACGATCGAAGGCCACTGGTTCAAACCGTCGATGTCGTTAAGATTATTGGCGTTGCCACCGGCCGCTGCGTACAGGGTTGGCAGCCAGTCGACTATGTGCATCTTTTTCATGGACACTCGACCCGCTGACTTTATTAGGGGCGAGAAAATACAAGCCACACCACGTACACCACCTTCGAATAGCGAATTCTTCATCTAAAAAGTATTTTCTACGTTGCATGATTTTTATTTATTGTAGCTGTACTTAATTATTTTTTCCTCATATTATATTGTTTTTTGTGAATATTAAATATCTTTCGATCTAAAAACGAATCATTTAATTCAATAGGATTTACTTTAAATAAATCAATTACTATTTCATTGATCATATTTTTGTCTTTTATGCGCAACCGAATTAGTTTGACCCAATATTCAATGAAAATATCGCTTATAAACTTTCATTTTATTACCTAGATAATTCAAATGGAAATATAAATTCATGATTATTTTAAAATTAAATTCAATAAAATATTCTCAAACTTTAATATTTTTATCTATATAAATTGTATATATAAAAGCTATTGTCTGATGAAAATTTAACTTTTGCACTGTTTTTTCTAAGATATAATTATGAAAAGAAAATAGCATTAGATTTGAAAATGAGACAGCTAGTGTGAATAAAATCTAAGAATTTTATGAACATCAAGCGTGTATAAGGAGACGGAATGAATAATACATACGTAATGTTAATTTCAATAATCAGTAAATGACAAATCACTTTAAATTATTTTGGATATACTTACTCCACGCAACGGATAATTAGAACCGCTGGTTCCATACATGCCAGTTGTTGGCGCTCCATTATCGCTTATAAAAACGATGATACTGTTTTCTAACATTTTGGCTTTACTAAGTGCGGTCACAACACGTCCTACAGAATCATCCAAGGACTTTACCACTCCTGTTAAAAACAGATTATTTTGAAAGAATTATTCAATCTACTTGAATAAGCATCAAACTGAAGACTATAATTATGCAATAAAAATTATAGATATGAAAAATCATTCGCAATTTCACATACGACACAACATCCGTACTCCCCCATCATCGTTAATAAACAAATGCATATTATATAATTTATTATTATTATGACGCGTACCTGCGTATTTCCGACGCTTCAAGTCACTAATATAGGAGAATGTAGCATTCGTTTCTTGCATATCGGGAACTTCTAATGGATCAAGCACATTCTGATTGCCGTGACTCGCAAGATGAGAGATCTCAAGAAATAGTGGCTTTTCATTTCCATTATTATTTATAATCATAATAGCTTCGTTGGTTATAAGATCCGTAATGTAGCCTTTATCGTGAACAACTTTCAAGGCTTCGGGAGTATCACGATGCAAGTCATTACCAATGTGAACCTTTTTGTATTTGTATACAGAGTTGACTTATTCATATTTTTTATGTCATTATTTTACGTTAAAAAATAAGAACTTTTATTTTCCTGTTAATGTTTACTTTCATATGCAATTTACATTACATATAGCATTATGCTATGCTATTTGGGTTACTAAATTCTATTATCTTATGTATCATTATAATTGAGAGAATCTGATCAGACATTATTAATAAACAATTATAAGTAAAAAGAGTTTTTTTATTTTTTTATTTTTTTTTGTTTTTTTTTTTTTTGTTTTTTTTTTTTGTTTTTTGATTTTTTGTTTCTTTTTCTTTTAATAATGTAATATACTTTAGAATTTTAGAAGTAATCGAACTCGATCGAAAAGAATGCATATTTATCGAGATCAATTACTTTTTACAGCCCTATTTCGTGTCGTACGTAGAACACCGAACTAAAAGATTATTCTATTTCAGTAAGACGTAACGTTATATTCCCTTACAATATAATAATTAGTAATAATTGATAAGAGAGGAATATACTTGGCCGTCTTCGGATAATAGTTTGATCGTGTGGTCGAAGTAGCCAATGAGCTTATTGTAAAATCCGTAGAAGGAATCGAAGCCTCGACGAGCAGGTGTATGATTTACCGAGTGGTACCCGGCATGCCACTTGCCAACGAGATGTGTACCATAGCCGAGTTGACGCAAGTACTCCGGCATGAGGGTCCTGTTGAGCGGTATACCCCGCGCCTCACCAGGTTCCAAGTCAAAGCCTTGCGTGCCTGTGTTCGGAAAGGTTGCGTTTGAAAGGCTGGATTGGGATTTTCTACTTTATTATCGCTGAATTTACAACAATTAATTACAGCGAATAAAATAAAACATAAAATTACAACATTTTATGTTTCTTGTGAGTATGAGGTATTGTTGGAAATTAATTCTTTTATTAATTTTGCTTTTAATAATTTGAAATTTCTAATACGTTAGAGTCGCTTGCCACGACTATTTGAGAATTATTGTTACCAATGTTATTAATGTTAATATTATTAAATAAAAATGTATTAGTTGTATTAATGTATCGTGATTTATAAATTTCACTTTTAAATTAACCTACGCATCGGACAAATTATATTTCATAAAAATGTAATATACGTATAAAATTGCGTATAAATTTACATTTCTCGACACAAATTGCGTTTCATTTGTTTTCTTCTCGACTTATTAATTACCGTCTCTGATAGGGTAACGACCAGTCAGTAAAGCTGATCTCGATGGCGAAGAAATAGGCAATACGTAATGTCTATTCAATATCACTCCATTGTAAGCAAGTGCGTCGATATTTGGAGTTGGAATTTCATTGGCACCATGAAAACTCACATCGTTCCATCCCTAATAAAATATTATTAAAGATAAGAATTGATTATATTACTTTAGTTTTGAAAAATACTCATATTTATAATTTTAATCGATTTTTAGAAATCAGGCACTGTATTTATTATGAATACTTTTATTAATCTAGAAATTATGTGAAATCATGTGAAATTACGTAATAACAGTAATTAATTGTAATTAAATGTTCACTCTGTTGTATATGTTATTACCAATTTTTGAATATATATATATATATATATATATTTTCTTATATAATTCAAAATATTGATTTATAATAATACAATTATTAAAAATAATACCTTTAACAAATATAAATGTATTAATGTTATAATCTTTTGTTTATATTAATTTCACATTTATTCTATAGTATAAAATAAACAATAGAATTATTACACAAATGTTCATCATGCGTAATAAATCTTACATCACTTTTATTATCTTAGAAATAATCTTTTTCAATCTAAGAATTTTAAGTTTTTATCGTACGTATTATATTATCTTTAAAAAATTTCGGCAATAAATTATTATATTATATGTAATAGTAGTAATCAAGTAATATATGAGAAAGTGAATTCGATTGTAAAAGATTAATTATTTTAATAAAAATTAAACAAAGATAATAAAAAAAATGAAGATTTTAATTATTACGAGTTTCATTGTAATCGAGTATTGTATGTTACAATTTCAGTTACCGTTAAATAAATCAATACATTTATCCACATTTGCATTGTAGCCTTTAATAATTGACATTTATAAAAATGTGATTTTTTGTAAATTGATTTGAAAATCAATATAATTTATGTACAATATATCTTATAAATAAAGCGATGTAAAAGAAAATTTTGTTTAGAAAAATCCCTATACTAGTATTATCGTACAATTGGTTGTCCTTTTAATATTATTATATTTAATGTCTAATTATTTTATATATTTATTTTTTATATTTTTTTATATATACTTATTACGAATTGATTCATATAATTATTAGTTATAATTAACAAGTTTAACAAGAAAAATCATTGTTATTAATTGAAAAATAAGAATTTTACATAAATATAAGGAAAATATGAGGACAAGAGGATTGTGATTGACTGGCCTCTGAGCTCCTTAAGCGCCTCAAGGTATTCATAACTCACTCATCACCTCTTTATATTTCGAAGATTTTGCAGTTCAAATTTACGTTGATTTTATAATATTATGAAGAAATGGAATATTTATTTAGAACTAAATTTAATAGATAGGTACCGAAAAATAATATTTGCCTTTATTGTGTTAGCTCGGTTTTTTACGAGTTGAATAATTTTTTATGTTATTTGGCAATAATAGCATAGTTTTGTTTCAATGGCAAAATATTGAAGCATTTATTAATGTTATTGCGCTTATTTATTAAATGGATGAGTTATGATATTTTGTTTAATTATTTTAAAATTAAACGATTTGAAAATTAATCTATAATCTAAGTCTTTAACAAAAAACTTCATTATTTTCATTATTTTCATTATTTTCATTATTTTGTTTCTTGCAGTATATAGTTAAATATTTTATTTGAATAAATTTAATTCGTTTATCAATAAACTCATATAAAATATTCACGGTATTATCTTAATTTATTATTTTACTAAAACTTTTAATTTCTTCCATAAATAATTATTTTAATTATCTATTTTAACAATTGTTTGTTAATTGCTAATACATAATGGCTATATTTGAAAAGAACATGATACGTACCAAATCATCAGCTACTATGAAAATAATATGTGGTTTCTTGACATTGGCTGCCGTACTTTTTAAACATAGACTTACTAGAGCTAACCATAGAACAACACTAATAAACTTTTGTGTTTTCATTATTTTTAAAACGTATTTTAAATGGATTTTGAAGTTAAAATTAAAACAATTCGTTAGTAAAGCAGTTGTTGAACGGCTATTGAAGAAATTATTTTAATTATTATGTCATATATGCCTTATTATATATGTGCGTACCCAAGTCATGAAGTTTTCAATCAATGTGTACTTTGATTAAAGGTAAATATTTTCACAACTAGCGATGTCAAATTTGTAAATTTTTATGAGTATTTAAGATACAAGTATTTATCGAAGTCAAAATAATTTATTTATCTAATTGATTTGACGAAAGCTTCAATATTTGGCTAATTAATTTGACTTCCATCTTCATTCATTATAAAGAAAAATTTTCTTCTATTATCTGTAGAGCGAGTGTATATGCAGATAATATTGATATAATTTTATGTTCAAACTATTTTTGTCGAAATCTTAACTTTTAATCATATCATTATTTTTATTATTTATTTACATTTATACATGCGCATAGGTGTAATTTTTTGGAAAAAAATGAAATTTTTTACATATAAGTTTAAATATATAATTATCATTTCAATGAAAATCCATCATACAAATGATATGGTGTTTTACGAAAACATATTTATCTAAATTTTAAAAGCATATCAAAGATTCCTAAATGACATGCTAAATTACATTGTATAAATTTCTATTGTAAACTATTAAAATATATGTCCCATTTATATTTATTCATATATGTGAACAATTTTTAATTTAAAATATCTATAAAAACATTATTAGGTAAAATTCGTTTTATTTTCTTATCCGAGCTTATTACAGAATTATATAAATCAATTCAAATATTTATATATTAAAAGTAGAAAAAAAAAGTGTTGATCTTTATCTTGATGATCTTTTCTTTTTTTCATTTTTTCTTTTTCTCTTCTTTTTAAAGTAAAGAAAAATTATAACATGATTATAATAACAAATTTAAAGCATAATTTAAGTAAATGTATAAAAATGATAATAATTATTATTTATTATGATGAAATAAAGTGCCAAGTATTTTATAAAATTTTTAAACGGGTAAAAATTGTGTTCCTCAATTTTAAATCAATTTTTACAGTTTTTCCACAACGTTAAACAATTACCTTTGACATATTATGCTGTCATTTTATTTTGTATAACCTATTCATAAATTCAGAATTTCTCTCGATTTATATATTGTTAATATGAAATATTATTTTATACATTATAGATTTTTTATGTAATATAATAACTATATGGAATATATTCTTTGGAAAAAGTTGATTTTAATATATTTTGCAATATTAATAGCGACGATATTATAAATTTTTCATTAAATGTAGTATTGAATATTTTTTGCTATTATTATTATTATTGTTATTATTATTATTATTATTATTATTATTATTATACTGTTTTTAATATTGTTAAATTTATTTTGTGAAGCTTGTTATGATTATTCTTAAAAATATTTTTTGTATACATTTGCATAATTTTATTTCATTGTGCTTGAAATATTTTGATATTTATTTATCATGTCAATCATTTCATACTACCCTTATTAAAACATTTTCGAAGGCTATAGAGAATATACTATGGTTAATGAAAGTATGCTAAGTAATGCTTAATTATTAAAGTCTTATATTTAGAATATTAATGAAGAATTAAATGACAGATTTTTAATTTGGTAAAGAATAGTAAAGAAAGTTTGAATAAGTAACCGACGTGTAATAGATAGTAGTTGTGGATATTGACATTTAATTCTTATACATTGTTACTCAACATCATGAAAAAGCAATAATTAGTTAATGCTATTATTAAATGAGAATGGTTAAGTTACAATATTGAAACTGAGACATATAGTAACAAAGGAAAATTTATAAAATTTTCATGGGCATTAAAAAACTAAAAAATAATTGCTTGTATAGCGTATATTATTTTTAAAAATCGTAAATAAGAGATTAGAATGACAGAAATATAAAAAAATAAATGTGATATTGTGAAATGAAAATTAGAAATTAGTTTTCATGTTCGAGTGCTAAAAGTTTTACTTTAATCCAAAACTACATTTCTCAATCAGTTTCAACTTCCACGGTTATTCCGCAATTTAATTTTCATACCATTCAAACGATATATTAAAAATAATATTCTTTATCAAGTCACGTAAAAGCTTTAAAATAGGAAATTTATTTTGAATCTAGGATTATTTTTACGTCTGATTATCAAGAATTTATGATTAAACCGCATTATCCATATATTAATTATCTGTAGCGTCATAGATGTTTTCAGAGTTCCGCTCGACAATCATTAAAAGTATATAAAAAATTTTAATCTGGCTAATTCTAACATATGAATTTTAAAAGACCAGAGCAACTAATGAAATATTAAACAATTGCGATGGAAAATAAGATTTTTCTATTATTTTACAATGATATTTAATTTAGAATCTTTTTTTATTCTTAAGTAAAATGTAACGTCATCTGTATAATACTTTTTTTTTTCACCGTAAAAATATATGCTTGAATATAATTTAAATCAATAATCCAATATAATCACAATCACACAACTAATTTTCAATTTATATTAATGAGTCTTAATGAATAAACGTATATAGATGATAGGCATCATATTCTTTATCATTCTTATAAATTTTATTATACCATTAAAACTTCATTTTATTTCATATATAATAAATTTAACATAATTCCTGATACTACAAATTATTTTGAAATCTTAAAATTCTACTGTAATAAAATTCATTATCTTTGATTTATTCTCTCTTCACTTTTCAAAATTAATACTATTTAATACATTTTTATATTAATATTTTCACTTGTATAGTATTTAAAATTTACGTACTTTTCAATTAGCTTTAAGAGATTATTTAATAATCTTATGTTGATGCATATCTTTATGAAATGTCATTATTATTTATCAGAGTAAAGAAAATTTTAATTATACTTTTGTAGCTTTCGTATAATCGGTATATTGTAATTAATAAGAACAAACATTCATTTCACTATAGTTTACATGTTTTAATTATTATCAGTGTTTGTATAATTCTTATTAACTATGTACGCTAAATTAATAATTGCTGCTAGTTGAAAAATTTTATTCGATAAATTGTTTTAATATCTCATTTACTAAAAAAGTTCGCTTTCTACAAATAATCATTCATTAAGTAAATTATGGTTTATTTCAATATAAATTATAATTTTTATGTATTTATTTCTTGTATTTTTAAATGTTATATTGAGGAGTTTAAGAAATTTCTAATGAATATTCAATATTGTACTTTCTCTACGCTATTTAATAATGTTTACAGCTATTTATATTTAATTTAGCAATAATTTATATTTTAATTGCTACTGACCATATATTTATAATCGAAATATAAATTTTCAAAACATTTTAACGACCAATGTGGAGTCCTTGTGCAATTTCGAATAAATTGCGAATAAACTTTACAATAATAAAAATATTGTTTTAAACAAAAAATTAAGAAGAATGTAGTATAGTTGGATCCCATTAGGTAAAGTAACCTATTTTATTATTGACACTTTCTTTTATTATTGATTATATCTAAAACTATATACGAAACGAATGTATGGCGTGGAAAATTTGTCGAAAATTTCTTTTACGATGTATAATATGTTATATAATAAACAATTAAATGCTTATCATTAGCTAATGTTAGATATTTAGATATTATTTTGGAAAATACAGGAAAGTACAGTAAAATACAATATGTAAGTGACAAGCAGAGAGCGTATGATTTAAGAAATAATTTGACAGTACGCTGGGAAAATTAACGTATTCTCAGTAAAGCTACGTTCCTGTGACTCTATGCACCTCGGAGAACGTTAATTTTCCAGATGCCTGGGTAATCTTCTAGACACTTGATAGTCATTGCGTCTGGCTCTCTTATAAGGCATTTTGCTGGAGCGTACTTGAAAACAGAAGACGGGCCCGGGATGTGCCTGGGCTTTAACAGACACTTGCTTGATCATTTCTATAAAATACTAATGTAATTATCATAAGAGGAAAAGTTTTCCCAACAGTTTTCGCTCCTAACTTAAAAAAAAAAAAAAAAAAAAAAAAAAAAAAAAAAAAATTAAAAATTAAAAATTAAAAATTAAAAATTAAAAAAAAACAACCCAACTTGTTCATTACGAGCAAAAAGAGAAAAACGTAGTTGTTTTCTTTGCCAAAATACATAAAGTGTTTTCTCGTCTTATATACTTCTTTATACTTTTTATTAATAAAAATTCACGCTGTGGAGTTTATTTCATTAATTGAGTTACTAAAAATCTTCAATGATAAAATGAATGAATTTTAAAATATTTCTCTTGAATCTTGATTCTTGAGTAGTTGATATTTTTGCTAAATCAAAATCATCATTTATTAACAGAACGATTATTTTTAAGAAATTATATTTTGTTCAATTATACATTACAATTATTATTTATATTATCAATCACCTTATTTTTGGTTAATTTTTTTTTTAATTTTAATACAATAAAGGACTTTCCATGCCTGTATTAATATTAATTATTATTATTATTATTATTATTATTATTATTATTATTATTATAGTTAAGATGCTGAAACAAATGCTCAATAATCGAATATGATAATATAATTGTTTATATATACATATTAAAAACTGTTAATATTTTAATAATTTATTGTCGAAATACAATAATAAACTGGATATTCGTATATTGTGATATTTAGTTACATTCTTGTACTATTCGAATAATAATTATGGAGCGAGGATCAGTTTTCAATTATCCCGTGGACTCCGGACAAACCATTCGGCTTTTAAAAATTTATCCTTTGCTTCGAACGTAAAACTCGCGTTAAAATTAATTGGTCTATGATACGGCTTTAATGACGCCTAAAGTTACGCAAGGAAGTACGATAATTGTCTCCATACCAGCGGGATAATAAAATCAATGCCAAGTTTCGCGTAAAAGTAGGGAAGGACGAGCGGCTGAGGAGATTACGCCACTCGAGTC